CACAGTCTCATGTTACAAGTGAGAGAGAGACTATGCAGACTACTTCTTTCAGTAGTGCAAGTGAGCTTAATTATTAGGGATTCAACATTACTATTGTGGTAATTCTTGGATTTTCAAATACAGGGGCAGTTCATGTAACCATTCATTTTGTATCTTTTAAGATACACTTTAAAAAAAAAATACAAGGTAATTATTAACTACACCAATACAAATCTTTTTCTTGTTTATATAATTCTGTGTACTAGAAATATTATCAAACCCCCCTCAAATAAATCTGATAAAAAATAAATGATTTAGCTATTTCTAAATTGGTTGTACCTGACGATTATAAAACCTTGTCGAAATGTTTTACATTTGCTGTTATGTTAAAGTTATATCAAAGTTTTTTATTATTACCCATTCAAGCCATCTCCAAGCATTATTAGTCTGGAAGTGGGTTCCTCATCATCGAACCTGAGTGATAAACTGAAAAGCAAGATAAGTATCAATGGTCAGTTTATAATTCCTGTTCCTTGGAACTTAGGAAAATACCAGGTTTATTCACCAGGTTAATAAGGGCAATTTTCCACAAATTAACACCGACTTGAATTGAAAATAACACTGAGGGAACCAAAATTGACTCAACATTCATGAGCCAAATTTGTAAAACAATCATAACCAAAGAAACAAAATTAATTTGTTCATCCATAGTTAGTACAAATAAGTTGATTAATGAGGGCCGAAAAAGCAACAATGATATCCTTATACACTCTTATTCAATCCATATATATTGTTCAATCAGGACCAACAAAGCATTTATTAAATCCTTGTATATCCAATTAGTTCTAAATACATATACTGGTAATTAATACTTGATACAACACTGGAATATGTAACAGATCCCTTCTAAGTTCATTGTCAGATCTAAGTATGTTTATCACTGAGTGCCAACAAAGCACTGATGGTTTCCATAGTCAATAACCAATAAGGTCTCATTTAGAGAAGAAGCTTCCAACTAATAAGCCACATGGAAGGTGGGTATGTGGAGAATTGTTGGTAAGTATGATGCAAGTACTCAAGTTAAACCTTAATTACAGGTAATGGTATAGAACAAGATTACAAAAATGTTAGTGGATTCAGGTTCCTGACATATAAAGATGAAAATAATCAAGACAATGCTGCCTAATTATACTTATTGATATAAAACCCTAAGACAGGAAAAAAACACCTGTATAACAAATTTCCAATTAATTATGATAAATTCATTTACTGTAATAAATTTAAAAAGGTGAAATTCATACTATTATGTTAGGAAGAACACAAAACACTAAATATACAGACTTACTATTAGTTATTGTGAAAGTTTTATCTTCCTTTTTCATCAGTTTGGTATTCAATAAATCATCCTGCTTCTCATCAGAAAAGGGTTCTACTTTCATCTTTAATATTTCCATGATTACACAGAAGCTTCACCTTTATATTCTGTTAAAAAGTTTTCAGTTAGACTACAAATAAATAAGTTAAGAAATAAAAGTCACATCCTTCATAAATGTTCGAAAATTCAACAAATATTACTTTCAAAATTCACATTATCTTGATAACCTTCATATTAAATTATAAGCTTTATGATTTTTTTCACATCTTTATATTAAAACAGTGACATTATATTTATTGTGATATAAACTTTAATACAATATGAGTAGTAAAACATTTACCAACAGTTTAAACATGTAATGAATCCAGATTAGGTTTTTACTCTATTGACTACAGTTGTACTTGTAAGACTGATTATCTCTACTACTGCTACAAGTAAATGGGTTAACTAATAGTAATATTTTAATAACTCGCATGGTGCCAGTTTCGTTTGGCAACTGAGAGTGGGAGAAACTGAAACGCAGACGTATTATTTATGCATTAAAACAAGTACGCAGAAAAAATAATTTTTACTAAATGAAATAAACAATATTACATTGCTATAATAACGAAAAAGTTTCGTTTGTGTTATCTTCAATACCTTGTTTAACACATGTAAATTTATAATACAATACAACTAGAACTTTGCAGTAAAAGGACAATTTGGATGATAGTTCGCTAATGCCATACGCATGCGCAATTTTGCCGGGTATGATATTTGGATTGGGTAGTACGGGAATTGCATCACAGGGCACAGCTGTGAAGGATTCTGAATTAATTGAATAATTTGTATTGGAAAAAGTTGCTGTTTATCATCAGACAGAGAATAACCAAACTATCATGAATTATAAAATTGCATAATTTCAATATTTGTACTTATAAGGATATACACGGTGGGTTTTCTTCACATGAATTAACAGACAAATGTTATTTATTTATTTTTCAATAGATAATTAACAATAACTGAATTACATGTGCAGAATATACTGTTGCGTCAGCGAGGTCACGTGACTAGTATCACGCCACCTCCTTCTAGAAATATCCTGTACCTTCGTGAATTGTCGGGAAACTACTAGACTGGGGTAGTCTGATATATATAAGACGGTCACAACGTGACGGAATAATGAGTAATTGAACTGCAGTCAGAGAATGTGTAATTGAACTGAGTATTGTCGAGCATGAGCACGTAAGACGTTCTTTGAGAATTATAGCGTTTGTTATAGAGCGACTGTTGAAATTAAGTGTATCGGTAAAGTTGCATTCGGAAAGAATAAACCAGTTTTATTTAAGAAAGGACTTGTGTCGCTAAAGTTTCGTTGGAACGAATTTACGGGAAATTAATTAACGAACGAACAGAGACGTAACAATACAAACACAAAATTAAAATACAACAAAGTCTCTTAATTTTACAGTACGTTTCTTTTTTCCGTACTGGTCTCCATCTCATTGGATACTGCTTCACGTGGGGTTCATTTGCTCCATCAGGAAATGTCCCATTATCAGTAGCACTCACATTAGTGGTAGTACCTTCATTAACAGCTTCACTGTTTCCCTTCTCAAAACTGAGTAGAGTTTCTTCTTCGACAGTGGCTTTTTCAAATGACACATCTTCAGCAGCGTCATTTATTCCATTGTTCACTTCGTTCCAACTAAAATGTCTTGGACTGTGATAACACCAAAGCCTGTTGGCATGCACCACTTTTGGCTTACCTCGCCGACCACATTTTATCCAGAAAGTCACGACTGAGAGACGATCCACTATGTCATATGGGCCTTCCAATGTAGATGAGAACTTAGAAGACTTCCCTTTGGCCTTCCTGGGATTATACAACCACACCTTGTCTCCTGGTACAAAGCTGACTTCAGTAGATCTCTTGTCATAACATAGCTTCATGGAATCAGCAGACGTTTTTCAGTTTGAACGCACTTGATGATGAATATCATTCATCCTTTCAGATAACACTTTCACAAACTCTGGTACTTTTTCAGGCAACTCTTTGTAAGGTGGACGTCCTGCTATCAGGTCCACTGGCAACCGAAGTTCTCGACCAAACATCAGCTTTGCTGGAGTGTATCCAGTGGCTTCATGCTTTGCTGTTCTATAAGCCATCGACAGTGAAAGGAGTAAGACATCCCAGTCATCTTGGCGGCTATTACAAAACTTTGCCAATTCCTGTTCCAGGGTCCAATTGTACTTTTCCATCATTCCATCAGACTGTGGGTGAAGTAGTGTAGTCCTGGTCTTTCGTATGCCAAACACTTGCAGCATTCATGGAACACAGCTGATTTGAAGTTACAGCTTTTATCCGAATGCAGTTCGTATGGCATACCAAACCTGAAGGAGAAATCACTAATAGCCGAAGCTACAGTTGTAGCTTCCTGATTTGGTATTGCATATGCCTCGGGCCATTTGGTGAAATAATCCATCACCACACAAATGTACCTGTTTCCAGCACGAGTTTGAGGCAAAGGACCAGCAATGTCAACAGCTACTCTTTCCATTGGTGCGCCAACTTGATATAACTTCATTGGAGCACGTCCCTTATGCTTAGGTCCCCTTTTAGCACAACATGTACTGCAGTTCCTGCACCATTCTTCCACATCTTGCCTCATACGTATCCAGTAAAATCTCTGTCATAGGTGACTCAATGTTTTTTAACTCCAAGATGCCCTCCTGTTAAGCTATCATGGGATTGACGCAGCACAACTTCCCGCAACTTTCTCGGTATAACCGTTTGCCAGGTCGTCACTTTCCCATCTGCAGTTTCCCATCTCTGGAGAAGAATACCATCTTCAAGCTTCAACTGGTCCCATTGTGCCCAATAGTTCTTTGTCACACGGATTAAGCCGGACACCTTCTCCCAAGCAGGGTGCAAAATACTTGCTTGTAGGAAATCAATTATTGGATTCATATCTTGGTCTTTTTCCTGCTCTGCTTCAATGTCTATACCTGGTTCCACTTCACCATCATCAACTCCTTCAGTCACTTTGACTTCAGCTTAATGACACCTGGTTAGTTCAACCTCTCCTTTGCAGCAATGTCTGCAGTCATTTTTGCAGGGTCTTTGGCCCAGTCCATCGGCATTTCCATGAGATTTTCCTTCTCTATATTCAATATCATAATGATATTGGTCTATCTTTCTGATCCAACGTGCCAGTTGCCCCTCTGGATTATTTAATGATCTTAACCAGCATAATGCAGCATGGTCTGTCCTGATGGTAAACCTGGCGCCATAAAGGTAAGGATGGAAATATGTCAGACTCTTTACCATAGCAAGGAGTTCCCTTTGTGTTACACTGTAGTTCCTCTCTGGTCTACTCAGGGCACTAATGAAGTAGGCTATCACATGTTCGTTTTCACCCATTTTCTGAGACAACACTCCTCCAATTTTGACATTACAAGCATCACAATGCAATATGTACGGCAGTGAGGCATTTGGAAGCTTTAAAGGTAGAGCTAAAGCCAAATTTTCGTTCAATGTCTTGAAAGAATGCTGGCAAGAAATTGTTCTTTCGAACTTCTGGCCTTTTTTCGTCATATCATGTAGTGGATCAGCTATAGTTGCAAAGTCTTTCACAAACTTCCGGGAATAGGTATATAGTCCCAAGAAACTCTCCCACATTGTCTGGTGTTGGCAAATCACGCACTGCTTTCACCTTGTCAGGATCAGTTCACACACCATGCTCACTTACAATGTGACCCAAGTAAAGCACCTCTTTCTGGAACAAGTGGCATTTCTTGGGATGGAGTTTGAGGTTTGCTGCTTTCAAACACTTGAATACTTCCTCTATCGGAGATACTTCCTCATCATATGTTGCTGCAAACACAATGAAATCATTCAGGTACACTAGGGCTATCTTCCATTGTAGACCTTCAAGTACTCTTTCCATCAGCCTATCAAATGTTGCTGGAGCATTGATAAGCCCAAATGATATCACACAGTATTGCCAGAGATCTTGACCATAACTAAATGCAGTCTTAGATTTATCTGCTTCAGCCATATTTACTTGATGGAAACCCGGCTTTAAGTCCAGAGCTGAAAACCACCTGGCTCCACTTAGGGCATCAAGAGTATCATCCATTCTTGGCAGTGGGTATGAGTCGTTTTCAGTTATA